TTTTTTTATTATTATTATTATTATTATTATTTGGTCAAATTCTTTGAATATGCCTTCAAATGCACTTAAAAAAAGGCTTTTTTCACGATAGTAGCACTTAATAGCCAGTGGTTAACAAACCTGTGGCCCTCATTCCGTGATCGAATTGGAATTTAGGAGTTGATTTTTGCGGAGGGAGGAAAACAGGAGAACCCGGAAAACCCTCGAAGCACAGGAGAGAACCAACAAACAACTCTACCCATACAGTCAATTCAAAAAACGTTGTCGTCGACCGGCTCAAGCCTACGCGACTGGACCGAAAGAAACATGGGTAAAATTCACTGAAGCGGTTAAATATTCGTTCTGAATTAATTGTTCCCGCTAGTAGTAAAGATAATAATAGCGAGAAACGATCCATCAAATGCATGTCTTTGGGTTTAGGGAAAGAAAAATAAAGTAGTTATGATTCAGTTCACAATTTCGAAAATATGAAGGCATTAAAAAAACGTCTCCTTCAACTCTTCCCGCACGCCTACGAAGGTTCGTGCTGTAAACCAGGCATAACTAGTCAGATAAAATTATGGAGTCAACTCGGCTTCAATGATTACTACCCAGAGTTCCTTTCGGTCCAGTCGCGTAGGCTTGAGTTGGTCGACGACAACGTTTTTTGAATTGACTGTATACAACACCGAACCCGTTGGGACTCGAACTCGCATTGATGAGAGGCGAGCTCTCACACCGCTACGTCGACCGTGCTTCCCAAATCAATATATCACTGAGAGATGAGTTTTTATTGACTTTTGTATTTGAATGCAATAGAATTCGGACCCTAAAGCCGTGATTATGAAAAGTATCTGTCCATTTTTTCCTAGTGTTTTTCTATTATCTATTCTTTCTCTCTTAATCTCTCTGTTTTTCTTTTCCTTTTTCCGTTTCTTTATTCCTTTCTTTTTTCGTATCGCCTAAATAAAGATTGCATTATGCAGATTAAAGAGGATTTCCACCATGTTTTGTTAAAAATGTCTCATACAGTTCAAAACAAACTAAAACTACAATCACACAAACTGCGGCCCTTTTGGTCGTCCGTCCTTTCAAGTCCTAATCTCCTTCTTTAATGGATAGCCCTTGGCTATGATCGATGTTGAAATAACTGAAGTCGATCCTTAATTATAGCGATAGGTTACTTAAAATAGGCGTTGGTGTACCGTACAGCGAACGAACAGAACAGATTCCTAGTAACAGCGAGAACTGAACTGGCTAACCATTTGGCAAAGTCGCCATCAAGTTTCTTCGGAGGTATACGTCCTGGGTTAAATTAGTTTATCAGCCTATAGTACGCTACACCATACATGGTATATTGACACAGCCGGTCTGTCTGTGAGATACAAGCTTTAAAATAAATAGCAAGCAAAATGAACCGAATTCTGATTGGCCCATCATTGAGGATGAGAAGATGCAAGGCCTAGAGAATAAGATAGATATTAAATTATCATCAAGAAACAAAGTTCTAAAATATCGAATCGAAGTCAATTCAACAAGTCCTCTTGACTTAAGTCGTTGCACGGTACGTCTAATAAGAACTGATCTACTTTCACCGTGCCGCAGGTAAGTCGATTAGAGTTATGGCGATGGGAACGGATGGGTTAATTGATAGTAAACTATAATAGCGGGGAATACATACATGAATTCGTCTCTAAACCGAGAAATATCACAAATAGACTACGGCAGTAGTATTGCCAGCAAATATGTTATGTTCTAGCTTCCTCTTAGAAAGCAGAGACGCCTGTTGGCCATTAGTACTCATGCTTGATCCAGATTGGCCACATAAACCGAGAAAGCGCGTTATTGATAAAACTAATCCCTCTTCAAAACTTCTTGCCACCTTTACATGACTCGCAGAGCACACGGCATATATTGTATATTAATCCGCTAGATATATAGGTCGGCTTTCTTGTCTTTATAGTACTCTATTTTCTTTTCGCTCCCATTTCTTACATTATTGACAGTGAGAACATTCGAACGGATTTTTCTTCCTCTTTTTTTTTTTTTTCTTTAGGTTATTATTTCTTGAACTTTCTACTGTTTAGTTCAAACTCGAAGTGTTCACAGTTCGAATGCCCTCACTATAAATAAAAACAGAGAATAAAAAATTAATAACGTCTGCTTGAAGAATGCGATTAAAAGTGAATCAATATGACCGTAAACCCAAGTGGTACTTTACCATGATAAATGTAGTAAACGAAAAACATAAGTTGATTTTGGCGAATGATTTTGGAACTACAGGTAAAAAAGAATTGAAATTAATAATTATCTAGGCTAAGAGGACAGTAAAACTGACTAATTAAATATTTCAATATCAAGAAAAAAACATTTTAGGGAATATTTTGACTAGTCTGGACAAAAGAAAGAAACATTAAACAAATTCTCGTAATTTGGCTCTCTCTCTCTCTCTCTCTCTCTCTCTCTCTCTCTCTCTCTCTTTTGAATATACGTGGATAGCTTGTGAAACCTAATGAAAAACCATTGTCATCACTAGTGTTTGAAATATTTTCATCACTAGCCTAGTGCTGAAATATTTCTAAATCTACATATTTGTCGTGGGTGTCTCAAAAGGGCAAGAAGAATTTCTCAATTACTTCCCACCCATTTGCTTTATTTTTTTACCTCTCTCCCCTCCATTACTTATAATTCTTGTACTTCTATAGACTACTTCTACTTAACATGTCTCGAACATGCGACCCTTTGCGTGATAGCCTAGTGATTCACCAACTATACCAACGAGGAATTTGCTGACAAAGTTGGGTTAGATCTATATTTTATTAAGTTTTTTCCCATACAGCTGCCCTAGGTATATTAAGTAAAAAAAATAAAAATAAAGAAACTTCTTTTCCTGCATAATAAATTATTAATTCATTAGAGCAGTAATTCCAAAAACTCGTGGGCTTCGTGTTTTATTAGGGTTTCCAAACACTCAAAAACAATAAAAGCACTCGGCCTACGCGGCCTCGTGCTTTAAAATGTTTTCCCGTGTTTGGAAACCCTAATGAAACACTAGCACTCGTTTTTGAAATATCACTTCTCTTTTTTTTCTCTTTCTCTCCGCACGAATTATCGTCAGAGCTGGTTATGAGGTCAGATCATCCCAAATCTTACAAGACTTGAACTGGTCTGACCTTGAAACCAGAAGGCAGCGACAAAAATCAGTTCTTACGTACAAAATTACCAAGGGTGATGCTCCGATAGACTTGCAGGGTCTTTTTACCACCGGACAGGAATGGTTGCATGGTATGAGTTGCTTAGTTTATATCTTTTCAAGTTTTCTAGTTTTTACTTTTCGTTTTCGAGGTCCATAACTGAGTTAGATAACATAGAGATTAAGTTACCCTCTTTTAGTAAAAATAAAGATTATATTTTTAAAAATGTTGTCCCCCTTCCTGCAATCGGCAGACATGACGACGTTTTCATCTTTTCCCTAAATTTATTTATTATTTATTTCTCTACTAAGTAGATATGATTTTAATTGTATTTCACTGAAAGTCTGAACTGAACGGCGTAAACGAGATGCTTAATTAAATCTCTATTAGTGTTAAATAAAGAAATTTATTATATAATTACCAATGAAATATCAATTTTTCTCTATTTCGAAAAATTGATATCTTCACAGGTGAAAATAACATGTTATTTTCACGTGTGAAGATAACACCATTGCGATGGCTATTCAAAAATACACGGAAAGAATTGCCTGAAAAAGCCAAAACATACTTTCATTGATAATTATTTAATAAACAGAATATTACATGGGCGCTTGGAGATACGAAATTTATCTTCTCGTGTTGAAAATCTCTCACTCGTTCGCTGCGCTCACTTGTGATATAATTGTGATATAATTGCTTATATATATTTGTTCATGTGGCAGCTGTGTTTGTGCCATAGTATAAAAAATGAGGACAAGATGTTTCCAAAGGAGACTGCTAATCACGTGATAATTGACAAAATAACAAAAGAGATGGCTAGTGTATCTATTGTTATCTCGTCCAAAAAGCTGAATGTTTAAACTTCACCTTATACGAGAACTTAAATAGAAATAAGAGTATACAATTCTAACGTTCGACTTTCCCAATCTTAATTCCCAACCTTGGATAAAAGTACCTGAAATAGTATTTCATGGTTGACGGAAAAGGTTTATCTATTAGGCTTTATCCCCGGGCTTTATCAACGGGTTTATTTCGGCATGACACATTTTCATTCGCCCATAGAAAGGCCTAAAAACATGGCAATTTCCTTGATGATCAAAACAATAGAATAAAGAATTCTTAATGCAGCGTTCTTGTTGATGTTATATAAAATGATAAATAGAATAATAACCTTATATTTTGTTTGACTTACCGTTGAATAATAGGATATCCGCGAGATAAGAGCAGATTTTTTATCCCACTTATGTTAAATTAGCCTGGCAAGAACTGAAATCTGAATGGTATACACTCAGTTTGTATAATGTTTAATCGATTAGAGAACCATTAATTAAGGGGACCATAGTAATCCTGTCATTTAACAAACAATCTATAGTCTGTAGAGTGTGTTAACCACAACACTTGGTTTGAACATACCTGTTAAACGTTCATTGGGTATTTTTTTGTTGTCACACGCTTCTTTGAAACTAAATTTTTTCTCCATTTCGTGATTCTATCAACACAGCAAAGTAATTCAAAAATTGGTCATTTCAGAGAAAGAGCTTCTTTGTGGTTCAGATGATATTCTTTCTGTTTGTTATGATACTCGAAAAAAAGCCATTCTAGTCGGTGATTTTCTAAAGAGTCTCGACATGAATTGTGAACTTGATGATTTATGGTCTCGATATGTTAATTATCGACATCATTCGACATTCATTGTTCTCTTTCATCATAGGTGAACCACGATAGCAGTTGTTTGTCTGTAGTTGTATGTGTGTTTACACGGTTTTGTTGTTGCTGTCAGTGCTGTTCAATTTTTGTTTCGTTGTTTTTTGTTGTAGTTGTGGTCCTTTGTTTGTTTTTGTTTGTTTTGTTTTGCTGTTATTGTTGCTTTGTTTGTCTTGTTTGAAATTTGAAATGTGCAGTGATAATTCTCAACACACACCCCCCCCCCCCCCCCCAAAGTCATGCAATACGTACCCCCTAGGCAAGGCTTTGTAGTTTCTTCCAAAAATTGTGCATCCCCCCATTTTTCTGATAAAAATTTGCCCATTCCGCCTTTTTCCTACCAAAATTTTCCCGATCCCCTCTCAATTTCACCTGCCCCCCCATCCTCCCCCTCTGCCATACATTATGAACGCAGCCTTATAGCTACTTGGTCATTGATTAGGAATAGGTAATTCAGCTTCATTGTACTTTATTCATGCGCACATTAATCACAGTAAACATGAAAAGTACTCTTTTGGTTTTAATCAACAAAACTGATAATCTGCTCTTATAATATTTCGTTTAAAATTTGGTGGTGGGCTTCGTGAGAAAGTCATTAGCGACAACAATATGATAATTGGTCAGCAAACAGCTTCTACGTGGTTCAAAAACAGCTCGAGCTAGGGGATCTCCAACTTTGAAGATAATTTAGAGAGATCCTTTCGTAAGTTTTTCCAACTTATCATTCTAATTTTCAAAATTTGGATAAATATATTCATGGTATGCGATTAAAATTCAAACTTCTTCGTGTATTTCTAATCAAAAATATATCTCTGAGAATATTAGATTAAAAATCAATCAAGAGGATGGTTAAATTTAGATATTTCATCGCTAGRTATCGAAGTTTTCTTCATTCTTTGAAGCCCTAGAAAATACCAAAACTGAGGCATCTATCTCTTTATCGATAGTGTCGTATCGAGCAAAAGAATTAGATCTCGATTAAAAACGAAACACTAAGCTAACAATGAAAAAAAAATGAAACAAAGTTTTTAGGCTTTAGAGCAGGAAAAATGCACGAAAAGACATCCAATAAAAACTAAAGATTAGAAAGGAAAGTCTTAATAAAAACTTAATATGCACGAGCCATAAAGCACTTGGAGTTATAAAGAGCGCGCCAAATTTGGCGCATGCGCATATTTTCTCGCTAATCGCAATTTTATTATTATTATTATTATTATTATTATTATTATTATTATTATTATTATTATTACTGCAGAACAAACACTAGACGTTCGTTAAATAAGCCGTGAATAGTTTTTAATCGCAAGTGAGGGATTCATTTTACGGTTTAATGATTTAGTAAAGGGATATGCAGCTGATTCTAGCTCACATGATCAACAAAAACATCAACAAATAAGAGTTTCTGATTGACTGATTCAGTTCTAACAACCAACATATTGTTGTCGCCATTAAACTACTGATATGAATAATTGCTTTAATAAATTTCGGTTTAAATTTCAGTGAATTGAGTTGAACGCACTGAAACATCAGCCTCACTTCAGCTCAGAGACTTATAAGGAATATAAGGAAATCCTTGAAATTTTTAAATCCATAAAAAACCGTCAGTGTTTTATTGAGATGCCGCTGATAACGGCAAAGTGATCGATCAATTCCAGTTGAAAACGCAATGCTCGCAAGGAAAACGCAAGTGTACTTTGTTAATTCACCGCTGCAATGGTAGTGRTATCTCTTATGAAGAAAAACTAAAACTTAGGACCAAAGTAGTGACCTTATCTAGCCACAAAATGTGAATAGAAAACCAGGGAAAACCTCATAATCACCGCTCGAGCAGTGATTATCGTCTCGGAAATCCGGCCTTTTCTTTTAATGAAAGTTGCAGATCTGAGTGTACGACTATTTTGCTATATTCAGTTTTAATTACTGAGTAACGAGTATCTTCTCTCGATTGTTTTCAGTTACTAAAGGAAAGAAGAGGGAGCACTCAAAAAGTCTCCAGAATGTCAACGACCTTGATATGCTTTCTTGTCTTCCTATCACTGATAGTAGAACCAGTGGACCTTGCCGACGTTGATGGTAAGCCAACATTCATTATTTAGATAAAATCTATATAAAAAAAGAACAAAAATTAATTATTCACATTTATTTTGGACAGCTATCACTACTGTACTAGTGTAGAGAGCTTTCACTCACTTAACAAGGCAGACATATTGGTGTGCCAATTCCCCGCGGATAGAAAATGTTTTGTTTTGGCCGCTGTGATGTCAAGCTAGTGAAAACGCTCTATATAACTAGCTAATCAAGACCCTTTTCGAGTTCCAATTTACCGCTGTATTTCTTGATTACAGACTCATTTACTCAGGCTTAGCCTCGATTTTGCGTAGAGTATTTACGTGTCTCAGTCAAGGTCCGTCGAATTTCAAAGTGTTTGTATTGTTGGAGTTGTGCATTCTTTACTTTACCGTTGGTATTTGTGAATATTTAGACACTGATGCGAGGCTAAGCCTGAGTAAAAGAGTCTGTAATCAAGGAACACAGCGGTAATTTGGAACTCGAAAATGGTCTATTACCCTGTCTAACCACGTGGTGATCGTAATTTGCCTGCCCCCTTACGGTGCTAATCGAAAAGCCGTGGGCACCTAGAAAGATTTCAAGAGTGTTTCTTAACCAATCAGAAGCGTTATTGTTATCTTTCCGTTATGTTGTGGTTAGAAAGTCAATTTTGATTGGCCAAAGAACAGTAGAACATTCCTGGAATATTTCTAGGTACCCTTGGATTTTCGATTTGCACTGTAAAAAAGACAGTGTTTCAGTGTGAAAAAGGTTAAACCAGGCTTGCACAATGCTAAAAGAAAAATCAATAGTTCTCAATTTACCTTTACTTAAACCTTTTTCCTATTAGGCCAAATATCCTGAAACTTGTTCAACAAGCTTATCGTATGTTGCTCTTTCTTGTGATGGGGTGTTGTTTTCTGTAACGTTTAATGAATTGGTTTTTCCAACTTGGACCCAGTCCCTGCTCATAGGAACAAGGAGTCTCATATAACATTTATATTTGAATCGTTTCTGTCCTGTCCAATCAAAAGCAAGACATTAATTAAAGAAATTGACAGCGGCTTCTCTCAACCAATGAAAACGCAAGACAATATCTCATCTCTGTTTTCATTTCTAGGTAATTGGAGTTCTTGGAGCCCGTGTTCAAAAACCTGTGACACGGGAACAGTGCAAAGATCTTTTACGTGTAAAGGCAGCAGTTGTAAAAACAAAACCGAAACCAAGGCGTGCATGAAAAGACCCTGTAAAGGTCGGTTTCATGATCTTTAATAAAATAATAGCATTAATAGACCAAATTCAAAACTCGCACCGATGTGAGGCTTAAGATGTGAACAAAGGGACCTGGCGTGACTCAAAGTAATTTGGCGTGATTCAAAAGTCACGAATCACGCCAGATTCCTTTGTTCGCAACTTAAGCCTCACATCGGTGCGAGTTTTGAATTTGGTCTATAGACCTTTCCCGAATACACTTGACTGATCATGAAACAAAAGTTTCAAGTCCGCGAAGATGAAGTTGATGAATAGAAGAATCAAGTCAAGTCTCGTCTTCAAACCATAGTTTCGTGGTCATCCAAGTAAATTCGGGAAAGGGGCTAGAGACCCTGATCAGTGTTTTGTCTTACACTCAAGCGCTGACTGTACAATAGAGCTTTTAAGTGTGAAGTAAATCATATGGAAAAACGCTTTCTGTGTCCAAAACGAAAAGCAGTTTTATAAAGATTTTTCTTTTTTCTTCATGACAAGATTTGCTGTCACATTTTTAAAGGTTTCAGGTGGAGGTTAAATAATTGATAACTTTTTTTGCTTTGGTATGACGGTTTTTGTGTGAAGTTGTATCGAAAATACGTAACAAGCTCTATAAACGAAGAATGTTCAATACGTATACTTTATTGTAAGCTCGTATGATGCCGCAAGGTACAGCAAAATCACGTGATCATCTTAACCTACCAATCACTGCTTACATTTTTAACAGTGAACGAAAATGTGTTATTCACAGTATTTACAATGGGGTTTTATTTTTGTTGTTGTTGTTGTT